TCACGATTACAGATCAATGACATACTGTTCCCGTTGAGTTTCGATTTGGGCGAAATCGGGATTTTTTGGCGTTACTTTTATTGCCGTTGGCTGGAGGACCAAAAGATGGGAAGCGCTTTGATGCCGATTGAAGGCTTATTTCTTCTGCCAGCTTCCATACAAGCTCAGATAATTGTGAAAGGAATACGCAGAAATGAAACAGCAACAATAAAGACTGTAAGAAAGAAACCATTGAGACATTGATGTGACTGAGGAGATCTTGTGGAATTAAGCTTCGTGAAGTAGAATGTTTTGCAACGACGCGTTAGTAAACTTTAACTCCCTATGACCGACAAAATTAAACAAACAGGCGCTACATGTTTAGAAAAACTAGTGCAATGAAATCATAATATAATTTTTGACTAACCTTTGCGATGATTCATGGCGTTGAGATTGCATTTTTATTTATACCTTTCAAACGTTTGAGGCTAGAACGCGAGCAAATCAGGCAAATGTTGCTGGACTTGGAACAACTGACCTCTGACACAAGTTTCACATTAGAAAAGCCTTTTTTAAAGCGAGCGGAACGAGATTTTCGGTTCGCGAGGTGATCCTGCTAGCGGTAAAATCGCGATGAGTCTTCGTGCCGTTAGCCAAATTTTAAATAAGACGAAAGACTTCTTCGAAAGTATAGAATATTACTTGAGAATATAAACAACAAATTTCCGTTGGCGGTGCGATTAAGAAGGAAATCTTGCCGAGTCAATATGACAGTTCTATTGTCTTTTGTGGAAAAAACAGATGACGCTCGCGCGTGCGCATAATCGGGACACTGTCCCTTTAACTGTTTGTTTGCCGAAATAAATGTTCAATGCTAGTTAACAAAAGGGAACTTTAAAAACTAATAGGATGTATTTGGCGGCCATATTGTTTTTCTTCATTCCTGGGAGAGAGGTCATGTAGCAGCTCTTCCAACCCTAAAAGCCAAATAGTTTGCAACCCAAACCTAACACAATAGAAATAATGATGAACAATGTTGTGTTAATGTTTTCCGCGACCGATTAAAAGCCACCCAACGAGCAGGGAGAGAATCGTACGGTCATACCACCTCGGTAAGCGCTGTCAGCGGTTACTGAGGTGGTCCAGTAGCCTTATTTTTTTCTATTTCTTTTTTACTCTCTTTTTCACCTGTGTGGTGCATATAGCTAGTAACATAGTGTGTTAAAGTGAAAGCAAAGTTTACAGAATTATAAAAAATGCGGTATGCATCATAGTGTATCTACCGGTATTTTTAGTAATACTGGACACTGTTATCGTTACCCAGTTCAAACTTCGAATTTTACATGTCCCTAATTTAATTCCAGAGGTAACTGCTTTGAGATGCGGGTCTGAATCAACTAAATTCGACAGTCTCAAATTAAATACGACTTTGTCGAATGTGTGACTGAAACAGTGGAAAATTCGACTAAGGTTCAACATTTGATTTAGAAGACGTATTTCACACGTGCCGAATATACTGCAGTAATTATAGAAACCCTTATCCATATTGGATAAAAAAAAATTTCTATAGACTGGGAATATTTACAACAAACGGAGTTAAATTCGGCACCATCATGTCCGACGTCTAAATCAACTGCCGTATTTATTATTTATTTATTACTTTCATATCGACTGAAATAGGTGTTCAGCACTCATAAGAAATTCCACGTTTGCAGGGGGCCTAACATGACATAAGTTTCAGCTTAGTGGTTTGCAGGCTGTTATTAAGTTGTTGTTTCTTTTCAGTAAGTAGAGCAATTCGTATCTCTCTTTGTAAATCCATTTTATTAATCGGCTTGTGCCACGACTTAAGAATCAGCGTAATAGTTGATTTTACTTTGTCTTTGACGTGATTTGTATTTTACTGGACATGATTTGTATATCAAAAAGAACGATCAATTTTCGTCCATCCATTTCAATAAAAGGAAATGGAATCACTTCTCATCATAGCGGACAACCTCGAACCGTGACTTCGTCGTATAAATAAGCGGCACCGAAGAAAGACGAAAAAGCTAACCCTTTTTGATCCAGTTATTTTAAGGTTTAAACTCAAAGCTTTATATAGTGTAAAATAATTATAATTTACTTTTACCGGTATCACTTGCAATAATAATAATAATAATAAATTTAATTGCTAACTATTAAAATCCTATTTACAATTAATCCACTTTCAAAACAACTATTTCGTCAAAACACTATTTATAATTCCTTCCGTTAAAAAACCCTTAGTTTTGATTAGACAAAACTTCACTTCATTAAACAAAAATTATTCAAATTAAGAACATTTCATTTCAATTAAAACAAGTCATGTCGATTAAAAAAGAAGAAACTCAAGGTCAATTGCATTCTTACTACGAAAATCACTAAAAAAGGGGAAATTAAATAGCGTTCACAATGTGTTAATGACGAATATTTGCCGTTTAAAAGTAAGGAAACACATCACTAGTCCGATTGAATGGCTCCTTCAACAACCTCGACATCA